TCTGTGGGTCAGGAATCCACACGTGGCTTAGCTGGGTAGCTCTGATTCAAGGTTATCTCCTGAATTCAGACTGTCATCTATGACGATGGCCTCATCTGGAGGCTCAGCTGGGGAAAGATCAAAGTCCAGTGGCAGATTGTTACAGGATTCAGATCCCTGAGTTGTTGGGATCTGAATTGTTGGACTAAGACCTCCTTGCCACATGAGCCTCTCCACTGAGCAACTCACAATATGGCAACAGCTTCCTTCACAGTGAGAAAATACGAGAGAGAGAGAACCCGGGAGGGAAGCCAGTCTTTTGCCACCTAATATCAGAAGTGACATTTTTATCACTTTTGTCATATTTTATTCACTAGAAATGAGTCATGAGGCTCAGTCCATACTTGGGAGTGGGGAGGTGACTAACCAGGGGCATGAATACCAGGAAGCAAAAATGACTGAGGGCCATCTTAGTCTCTACCTACTATATATGTCTTCTTTTGTGTCTGGCTTCTTCTGCGCAATATTATTTTTGTGAAATTTGTTCATATTGTTTCTCTGGTTATGGATAATTCATTCTTATCACTATATGTAGTATTTCACTGATTTATCCACTCAGTGGTTGAGGGGCATTTGGTATAGTTTTCAGGTTGGCACTATTATAAATAGTGCTGTTAGGAAATATTTTAGTACATACCTTTAGGTGAACATTTGTGTGCATTTCTGATGGATATATAGCTAGGAGGAGAATTGCTGGGCCATAGGCATGCACATGTTTGGCTATAACAGATATGGCCAAACTATTTTCCCAAAGTGGTTGTCATAAATGATATTGAATGAGGTTGGGCATCTTTTCATATGTTTATTGACCACTTGGATATCATCTTTTATGATTGTCTTTTCAAGTATTTTGCCCACTTTTCCATTAAGTTGTCTGAGTTTTTCTTATTGGGTTTGGAGATCTTCACATAGTCTGTGTATGAGTCTCTCTGCTATATTTATGGATATATCTTTTCCCACTTTTGTGTGTTATCATTCTCCTAATACTTTGTTTCAAATTTTAATATACTCAACTTTCTCAATTATTTTTTCTTATGGTTACTACTTTTTATGCCCATGCCTACTTTGAGGTCATAAAGATATCCTCTTCTTGTTTCCTTTAAAAACTTGATTGTTTTACATTTGCATTTAGATATCCAATCCATCTGAATTTGATTTTCATGTTGGTGAAATAGAAGGAAAAAAATGTATTTTTTTCTGTATAAATATCTGATTGGCTAACATCATTTGTTAGAAGGATAATTCTTCCTTGGGTGTCTGGGTAGCTCAGTCAGTTAAGCATCTGCCTTCAGCACAGGTCATGATCCCAGGGTCCTGGGATGGAGCCCCGCATCGGGCTCTCACTCAGAGGGGAGTCTGCTTCTCCCTCTCCGTCTGCCCCTTCCCGCCACTTTTGCTCTTGCTTGCTCGCTCTCGCTCTCTCAAATAGATAAATAAAATCTTTTTTTTAAAGAAAAAATAATCCTTCTTTCCCCACTGCACTACTCCATAGCCTTTGTCATAAATCAGTTGTTGGTATGTGTGGCTGTTTCTGGATTCTACATAATTTTCCACTGGTTCATTTGTCCTTGTGCCAATACCATACTGTCTTAATTACTACAGCTTTAAATAGGTTTTGATATTTAATAATATAAGTCCTTGGCTTTATTCTTTCTCAAAATTACCTTGACTATTCTTGGCCCTTTACATTTCCATATAATTTTAGAATAAGCCTACCAATTTTAGTAAATACATACACACAAATCTGGGATTTTAACTGGCATGACACTGAATTTATAGATTACTATAGTGTAGAATTAAATATTTATTATGTTGAGTTTTCTTTTTTCAGATTTATTTATTTATTTGCGAGAGAGAGAGAGAGGGAGAGATAGAGCACCCGCGCCCATGGTGGGGAAGAGGCAGATAGAGAGGGAGAGAGAGACTCAAGCTGAGAGAGACTCTGTGCTCAATCTCACGACTCTGAGTTCATGACCTGAGCCAAAACCAAGAATGGACCACTTAACCAACTGCACCACCCAGGTGCCCCTATGTTGAGTTTTCTAATCCATGAGCATCTCCTGTCTTTTCATATCCTTAGATCTTTTAAATTTTTCTAAATAATGTTTTGAGTTGTTGGGGTAAAATTATAGCACTTGGAATCTCTCCTTAGATTTATTTGTAGAGGGTTGATGTTTTTATGCTATTACATGTGACTTCTTATTTGTTGCTGATACACACATGCAAAAATGTTTTATATTGAACTTGATGTAATAACTTCCTTTAAATTCACATGTGAATTGTAATAGTTTGCTTGTAGAGTCTTTTGAATTTCCTACATATACCATCATATTGTCTATAAATAATAAGAGTTTTGTGGGGGGTTTTCTATTAGTTATACCTTTAATTTCTAAAGTTGTAACTTTAATAGCCTCTTCTTGCCTTATTTTTGTAGCTAGGACTTCAATCAATTATTTTAAAGTCCATTTCTGATAATCACAATATTATGGATCACTTGAGGACCTGCTTATACTACTTCCTATCTACTATTTTCTTTTTCTTTCATTTTTAAATTTTATTTATTATTGTCTATTTTTCTACATGCTTTCTATTTTCTTTTGGTTTTGGTTATAACTAATAGACATCCTGGTAATATTAGCTTGAATACAATTACTATGTATGACAAATTATGTAAATAGTTTGACAGTCTGGTGAATGTTATCATCCTTCAAAGAGGATTTAATTTTGCCTCCTGGCAGGCAAGTAGAGAAAAGCTAATTACCTTAATCTAGTTTGGGATTGAAAGATGTCTAAGGTTGTATTCAGTTTTTTGAGAAGGGTGTCTATTTCCAGTTTACCCTTTTTGAGTGTAGCCCCTCCTGGATTTTAAGTGAAAGTTTAAATTTTTGGTTTCCCAGATTCCTAGTTGTTTTTCTATTTCTATTTCTGTTGGGCAGCCCACCTCCATAATATTTTGAATCAGGAAATGCTTCATGTAGAAAAGAACTGCAGAATGTTGGGCTCATCTCAGCTAGGACTCTGACCCTCATTATCAGAAATGGTAAATGACTGACATGATTAATTTTTTAGGTATAAGCTCAATATGCTTACTACAAATAGGGAGAACAGAAAAGAGTATAAAGTAAGATAGTGGTCATATGCCCACAAATCAAAATCGCCTTTTAAATTACTTTTATTATAGAAATGATGCACACCTATTGAAATATGAATATAATACAGAAATGTATGAAGCAAAAAGCGGAAGTTCCCTCTACTTTCTGCCCGTTTATCCCAGTTCTTACTCCACAGGGGTAATCATTGAACTAATCTGGGTTATGTGAGTGTATGTTTGCACATGTGTGTTCTCAATTTTTAAAATGAGAATATACCATTCTGTAACTTTATTTTCAATTAGCAATATGTCCTGGACATAATTTCACGTCCCTGTATACAGATCTACTTCATTTCTTTTGATAACTATACAGTGTTTTGTGGTAATGAAGATATCATAACTTATTAGAACATTTATTGATGGACATTTATAATATTTCTGATATTTTGCTTCTACAAACACTGCTGCAATGAGTATCTTTGAACATATATAATTGCTATGTTGTGTGTGTTTGTGTGTAATTGTATTTTTTCTGTAGAATAGATGTCTAGAAGTGGTATGTGTGGGTCAAAGGGTACATATTTACATTTGGATAGGTAATGGCAAATTTACCCTATAAAATTCATGTTATCTTTTTAATTACCTTTGTTTGTTATAATGTGAATATACCAGGTAACTGGGTCACCAGAAAGGACTACAGATTCTTTTGTTCTTTTATCAGTTTTGGTCTAGACAAGGATTAGCAAACTATGGCCTGTGGGTCAAATGTGGCCTGCAGCCTGTTTTTACAGGCCCATGAGCTAAGAATAATTTTTACATTTTAAGTTTTTGTAAAAAAATAAATAAGAAGAATATGCCCATGATGAAAAAGTTTAGTGACCACTGGGCTAAAGTGTCCTTTTTATGCTTTAATGTGCTTTGAATGCTAGGAAACTAGCTTCTGAAATAGAGTTGAAGCTACATCCCTAACAAGATCCTAGGTCATACAACTTCCTCTGGTCCATAGACCATACTTAGAGCAGTAAGAGTTTAGAGCTTACTTTGGACATTAGAGCTGTAATGTCCAAAAAAACTAGCATTTGAAATGTGACTAGTGCAACTAAGGAACTACATTTTCAATTTTATTTCATTTTAAGTAATTTATATTTAAAATTTTGAACCAATACATGATTCAGTGATTGGAAACATTTTTTAAATGTTGGTATGTGTATCTATTTTTCAATATCAATTTTATGAAATTTAAATACAGATCAATTATTTCCAATAAAAATTTAGTGTCCAAATGGAGATGTGTTCTAAGTATAAAATGCATACCAGATTTTGAATACTTTGTACAAAAAACCCTGAAATTTCACAATGCATATATATATATATACACATATATCAAATCACTATATTGTACACCTTAAACTTATAGAATGTTAAATGTCAGTTATATCTCAAAAAGACTGCGGAGGGTGGGGGAGACTATAAACCAACTCTGTAATAATTATTACATTGATTTCATGTTGAAATATTTTTTTTTGTATATTTGTGTAAGTTAAAATTCATTAATTTCAATTGTTTCTTTTTACTTTTTAAATATAGCTATCAGAAAATTTTAAACTACATATGTGGCTCATAGTCTATTTCTCTAAGACAGCACTGGTCTAGAGTGGCCCAGGCCTGTGTTCCTGAATGCATTCATTAGCCAAGGAACAGGGTTCTATTAGCCAAGGAGTGGGTGGCATAATGGGAGAAGCTAGCTCATGGAAAATGTTGTACAGAAAATAATTTATTGATGAAAATTATCCATTTGTCTAGAGATTCTCAGGTGAAAAAAGAACTCTGAAAAAATCCATCTTTCTCCCCAATGGCATGGTATACTTACCCATCGTGGAAATGACGCTTCAATGCTGTGCATTTCTGTGTATTCCCCTTTGAACGATGAGTGAAATCTAGACCATCCTGAAAATAGTGAGCCTAGTGGGTGTCATGAAAGATCAGAGTAAGTTTGGGTGCCTTGCCCAAAGCCAGGAAAATACAGCAAATGTTTCCTAAGAATGTCTGTAACCAGAAGACTTGAAAAAACTTTGAAAGTCAAACTATAAGCAAAGAGAAAAGGGATAAAAAGGAAAAAGGAACAACAGGAAGGAATTCTGAAGAACAGATTCTACCAGCCACCTGGAATCTTCTGTGGGACAATCCTAATTTTAATTGATGGGGTAAACACATACTTATCATAATTGAAGGTGTGTATTCAACCCAGTCCACAAGTGTTTGACTCAAAGACCAGCTAAGTTCTAAAACCTGAAGGACTAAAATAAAAGGTGGAAATGATGTAGAAGAAGGAAATGGAAAAATTTTATAGTTACTCTACTGATTCAGTTTCTTCCCTCTCCTTTCCCTAAAATATCTATTTATGTATTCTTTTTAAAAAATGCAAATAAATCCTTTTGAAAAAAAAATTAGAAGAATGCTTCACTTTACAGAACTTTTCCTCACTAAGTATTCATATCAGGACCTCCCATGAAGTAGTCTTTGAACAGAGCATCCACTTAGCATATAGGAGAATCTCACTGTCATGACCACCACTTGTGAAAGAAGAGTCGAACGTAAGGATGACAACTTTGAGATTAGAAATAAATTAATAGGGAAGCATAACTCGATTTGCCAAAAGAAAATTACTTGTATGGAGACTCCAAAGCATTTATTGATGACATAAAGTGAAATAAAATTGGGGAGATTGGGATAAAAATGGATGGTATGGATTTTTTACTCTTCTGGACGCGATCTATTCTCAAAAGGTCAGACAGGACAGCGAGGCAATATACCAGAAGGTGATAGTATCTTAGGGATTAGTTAAAAACTACTTAACATTTTTAAAATCAAACCCATGTCTGAAGCCACATAAGACAAATTAAGTTCACAAGACACCAAGCTGGAAGGTGCTGCCAAGGAAAAGTGCTAGTGGGTCTTTTTTTGCTAGTGGGTCTTTGGGTGAACTCTGCTCCTTTGTTATCCCTCATTTATTCTTTTGATAAGAGTACAAGATTCTTCTTTGGGGAACTAGACTGGCCTGGCCAAATTAGAGTCATAGTGATTGACTGCACATCCGCATGGACACATGACCCAGACTAGAGTGAGCAACTGATGGTCTCTCCTGGGAATTCAAAAGGGGGACGATGTCTCTTAGGAATTCAAGTGGTGACAGGAGTAACAATCAGAGAATGGTTGGAGCATCTCATCTGGACAGTAGCAGCACCCTGAACAGACTTATCAATAGGTTCCTGTTCTCCAGGGTCCTGGAGTTGCCCTGGTTGCTGTCCTTTACAAGGCTGTCCTGTTTTTCCTTGGATTCTATGAGCTCCTCCAAATCTTTTCAGTAGATTGTTTGCTTTAAATCAACCAGACTCAGTTTCTGTTGCTTGTAAACAAAGAGCCTGCAGCATTCTGGACTTACACAATGGGAAAATATACAAAGAGGTAACTTAGCCCATCTCCAGATTATCATTTGGCAGAATTAGATATAAATGATCTCAGACAGGTAGAATCTGACCTACCTATGTGGAAATAGTGTATTCCACACTGTCACCTATTAAGAAGCTGAATGTTAGGCTCAGTTGGTTAAGCGTCCAAATCTTGATCTCAGCTCAGGTCTTGATCTCAGGGTTGTGAGTTTGGGCCCCACGCCGGAACTTGCTAAAAACAAACAAACAAACAAACAAACAAAACTGAATGTACCTACCAAGAAGTTCTTCCATTTAAATTCTCAATTTAATTCATTCATTCAATGCTATCATCTCATGACATATTTATTAAATTTTAGGGATCAAGAATGGTAAAATGTTGACACAGTGAGGAGTACATGAGTGTTCATTATACTATTTTCTCTACTTTTGTCGAGTTTGAAAATCTCTATAAGTTGTTCTTTTTTAAATGCTTATTATGTGTATAAATATGGTAGTATTATGGGACGCACAAGACAAGGTCTCATCTTCAAAGAATGCAAAAGGTAAAAGAATGAACAGAATATTCTTGGCCCATGCAGAAAAGCTTTCATGAACACAAGCCTAGACTCAGGGTCCCTTGGATACACATGAATATCTTGGAGGGACTTATACTGGCATGAGGAAACCAAATGAGCACACAAATAATAAAGACGAGTGCATTTTGTAAGGTGAGTATTGGGGCTGTGTGTTAGCTACTCACAAGGCTCCAAATTTTTTTATTTATTTTTATTTTTTGAGAGAGAGCGAGCACTTGCAAGCGGGGGGAGGGGCAGAGGGAGAGAGAGAATCCCAAACAGACTCCTCGCTGAGCACAGAACCAACCACAGGGCTCCATCTCATGACCCTGAGATCATGACCTGAGCCAAAATCAAGAGTTGGACGCTTAACTGACTGAGCCACCCAGGCGCCCCCAAACTCCAGCTTTAATGTTAGAGGATGTGCTACTTATGTTAAACTGATTGAGAATGGCTTGCTGGTGGGGCTCTGCTCCTGAGGATAAATGGAGTTACAGAAATGGTTTACTAGAACATCTCTGGGCAGGGGTGGTACAGGGGAAGGTGCTCTGAATGTACATATAAGGCCTCGACCAATAAGCCTCTTAGGTTGGGGAATGATATCTCCAAGCAAGAGCCGGTGACAGATAATCTGCCTTCTGAGGTGCACGGGTCCTCTTACCCATAGGGTTAGCATAGCTTAGTGGTAAGAATAGGCATTGTCATCGGATGACGTGGGTTTAGATCCTGACTCCACTCCCTCTCTCCTTTTTTTAATTTTTCAAAAAAATTTTTGATTGTGGTAAAATGCACATGACAAAATTTACCATTTTTGCCCTTTTTAAGTGTGTGATTCACATCGCTAGGCAACCAATCTCCAGAAGTCTTTTCATCTTGTAAAACGGAAACTCTATACCCATTAAACAACAGCTTTCCACCCCTACCCACCACCGTTCTTCTTTCTGTCTCTCTAAATTTGGCTACTCTAGGTCCCTCGTATAGGTGGAACCATACGTCATTTGTCTTTGTGCAGCTGTCTTATTTCACTTAGCATGATGGCCTCAAGGTTCATCCAGGTTATAACATGTGTCAGACTTTCCTTCCTTTTGAAGGCTGAGTAATATTCCATTGTATGGCTAGACCACATTCTGTATACCCATTTATCCATCAATGGATATGTGGCTTGCTTCCACCTGTTGGCTACTGTGAATAACGTTGCTGTGAATACGGGTGTAGAAATATCTGAGACCCTGATTCCAGTTCTTTTGATGCTGTCCCCGGAGGTAGAATTGCTGGATCATGTGGTAATTCTATTTTTAATTTTTTGAGGAACCATACATTCCCACCAGGGATGTGTCAGCGTTCCAGTTTCACTACATCCTCGATGACACTTGCTGTCTTCCTTTTTTAAAAATGGCTGTAGCCACCCGAGTAGGCAAGCTGGGATGTTCTAACACTCACATCTGATTTGGAAAGTGTAAATCTAGGACCTGCGGCAGAGGGTTCTGAAAGTAGCCACAATGGGTGGTCGGGATTGGAGAGGTCCCTGCGGGAGAAGGTCACAGACTAGCTAGTGCCAGAGAACCTGAAAGAGCCGGCAAGAACCATGGCTGCCCAGATGAGGGAAGGGCAGTAGGGCCACACCCAGAAAACCGTGCTTGGCTAGGGCTGCTTTCTACCACAAGTATGTAGGGAAAAGGCTGCCAGAGTGTAAAGAGGAACCAAAGTTATTAAAAGAATGGAGGAATTGGTCCATAGCAAAGACGAAAGCTCCAAGGGGTAGTTTGGGTCATTGGTGTCCACTGTTTACAAATACACAATGGGCAAAACCAGCACAGGAATTCTTTCTTGAAGAAAAGAAAAGCGTTAAGGAGGGGAAAATATCCTTGTACGATCACAAAGACTTAAAAAAGAAGAGTCTGGGTTCAATATTAGACAAAAATACTAAGATAAAGCCATACCAGAAAGTGAGGAAGTGCTATTTTTGGAAATCCCTCTGCTGAAAGTAGCTTTGTCTTATTGAAGGGAAAGTTCAGTCTTTCTACAGGTCAGTCAAATCACTGAAGAATGTTCCATCTCTGGCTTCTTGAATATATATGTACTATATATATATATGTATATATATAAATTATATATATATAAGTATATATATGTATATATATAAATTATATATATAAGTATATATATACTTAAAGTATATAAATATATATACTTGTATATAAATATTAAAAAGTATATAAATATATATTTAAATAGATATTTTATATATATATATATATATTAACTTTGTCATTCAAAGCAAACATTTCCCTGTTCCAAATTGAGTTCAGAAAACTCTCAAATTCCGAATTCAGCATGTCTGAAATTGAGCTCTTACGTTTCCTCCCCTCCCACCCTAGGTCTTTAAAAACTTCCGCTGGCTGCAAGGCTTTCCCTGCCCGGGTAAGGCGGGTAGAGTCACCTCCGCTCCTCCTCCTCCTCACTTACCCAGTTGGGTGGTTTCTTCCAAATGGCTTTCCGAATCTGCCTCCTGCCTTCCTTCTCCGCTGCCCCAGATCTGATCCTCACCAAGCCTGATCTATATAGAGTGGCAGTGACTTCCCCTCCCATGAAGACTCCCCTCTAGTCTCCACCCTCACCCCCTCCACCTCCATGCCCACCTCCAGCACTCCCAAGCCCCAAACCCATCCACCACTCACGGCTTCCCAAAGAATAGCTCAAAACCTTAAGATGGCTGTCAAGGGAAATTAACCTTTACCCTGTAAACCACCACCACTTCCAGGACTCACCACACGTGTTTTTAAAAAGTTACATTATTGGCAAAACAATATTCTGATAGCAACAGACATTCAAGGCAAAATCTCCCACAATCCCGTCAGCGATCTAAATCAATATTTCTACACATTCTTGTCCATATGCTCAGTCCATGTTGGCAGATTCGTAGTCATGTTGATAGAATTTTTTATCTTCCTATTTTACTTAACGTGACATTGTGAACAATTTTCCATTTTGTTACAACCTTTATTCTAATCTGCCCTTTGATTTCTGATATTGCAAACAGTTGCTAAAATGCCATCTTGGGGTAAATATACTTCCAGGCTGGTAATTTTATACCTATAAGATAGATTCTTAATAGTGTCATTTCTGCATCAAAAGGGACATGTAAGTTAATTTTAATAGACATTGCCAGATTATTTCCCCGGAGCATTGCTGCAATTCATGTTTCTACCAACAATGTGCAAGAGAATCTGGTTTCATACATTCTCACCAGCCACTCTTTTATTTGTCCCTACCTCATGAGCTTAGAGGAAAGAAGGTTACCTCAGTTTCTTCACATGCTTATTGGCTCTTTGAATTTCTCTTCCTGTGAAAAGCCTGTTAAATCCCTGGCTCATTTTTCTATTGGATTCTTTGTGTTTTTCCTCCCAAGTTGAGGATCTTCACATGTGGTGGATCTTCACTTTTCGTCTACCTTGTGCATTCCAAGGACTTTTACAGCATAGATCTCTCGTGCCCCTTTTCGTCCTAGTCAGAAAGCTAAATACCCCTCATCATGTCACTGGAGGATGCATCCAATTTGCTGCATCCTTGGGCACCTTGCTCCATTGTCCATCTCCTCCTCACCGGGCAAATTCCCTGCAAATGGAGTGATGCATAAGTACCTGTGCTGGTGTGAAAGGCTGGAGGTAAAAAAGCCAGGGTCCCTGAATGAATGAAAGGGTGGGGGTGGGGCTGCAGAATGACATCACATGCCATTAGAGGGATGGAGAAGAGCTGGACCAGGCAGGAACTTGTAGGATTTATTTTAGGTGTAAGGGGAAGCTGTGAGCTGGATTGTGTTTGGGGGAGGATGTCTGTAGCCGCTGGATGGAAGATGCATTGTAAGGAAGCAGGACCGGAAGCAAGGAGCCCAGCTGGGGGGATGTTGTGGTCCGGGTGAGAGTCAGTGGTTTGGACTAGGGTAGTGGCCCTGGGCATGAGGAGAGCCTGATACATTCATGTTGAGTCATAATGAAGGGTAATACGGTCAATAGATTATGCTAAGAGAACAGACGTGGAGAAGCAAGAGAAAAGGAGATGTAGGGATTGACTCCTGGGACTTGGGCTTGAATAAGTGGAGAGAAGGAGCAGGTCGGGTGGGGCATTCAGAGGGAAAACAAGGTCCAGTCTTAGACCGGCCAACTCTGAGATCCATGGACAGGTGAGATGTTAGAGGATGGAGCTCAGACTTGGCAGCAGGCTGGAGGCACAGATCTGCAACGAAACAGCAAATCGATGGTATTTAATGCCAGAGGAGAGGATGAGGTCCCGCAGGACAAGAGCACAGAGAGAGAAGATGGGGTGGCTCTGCCTGAACCAGCCAAGTGGAAGCTCGAAGGGATACAGCATCACTTCCGTCAGAGGAGGAGCCGATAAAGGAGATGGAGAAGCAGCAGATTGAAGCTGAAAGAAGAAAGTGTTCCAACACGAGAGGGTGGAGATGCTGCTGGGAAGGGAAAGCAGGTGAGGGCCAAGGGCTAACTGCAGAGTCTGGCTGGAAGGCACCTGCCCAGAGCAGTTTCAGGAACACACCTGTGCTGTGGGGAGTACACTGGACTACGTGGGCAAACTGATGAAGGTGAGGAAGTAGAGTTGGTGCATGGAGACAACTCTGTCAAGAGACTCAGCTGTGAATAAAGAGTTGAGAAATACGGAGGTGGGTGGAGAGGGTGTGGAGTCGAGAGAGAGAGGCACCTGATTTCCTTAAGTGGGGAGAGGAGTGCGTGGTTGAATGCTCATGGACGGGCCCCTGGGTGGGTGGTGGGGAGCAATGAGTCCAGAGCAGGAAGAAAGGCCTGGACCTGGGCCAGGAGGAAGCCACCTGCCTGGTCACAATGGAGGGGAGGAGGGCGAGACAGGCAGGTGAGGGGGTCCTATCCGGTGGGACTAGAGTGGGGTGTTGGCACAGTTAAGACACAGGAAGGGGAGCAAGAGGGGAATGGGGGGGTTTCAATGAGAAGAATTTATAGAGCGGAAGAAAAGACATGGTCCTTAGGTTGCTAAGAAGAGTGAAGAAAGAGCCCATCTCATGAAATTCAGAATACCGAAAATAAAGAGAAAATCCTTCAAAACAGAGCCGGGGGAGAGGGATTACCGGAGTCCCCACACTGGAGTGACCATTGTGTTAGCCTTGTGTCTCACCGGATACACTGGTCACTATGACGCAATGGAACACCGCATAGATCGTTCTGGAAAAATTTGTTTTTAAACCCAGAACTCTACACCAAGTCTGAGTAACACCCAAATGGAAGACACAAAATAAAGACATCTTTAAGTCATCCAAAGATTCATAAAGTTACTCCCAGACAGTCCTGAACATATGCTAAAAGATGAATTCCAGCAAGTCAGAAAATGAATCCATGAGAAAGATACGCTATACTAAAACCAGCGTCAAGCAAAGAATCGGAGGTAGAGGGGGTGCTTATAATTAAATATAAATATTTTTTTTAATTTTTAAAAAAGATTTTATTTATTTATTTATTTATTAAGCGGGGTGGGGAGGGGTAGAGGAAGGGGGAGAAGCAGACTCCCCACTGAGCAGGGAGCCCAATGTGGGCCTCGATCCCAGGACCCAGGGATCATGACCTGAGCCGAAGGCAGACTCTTAACAGACCGAGGCACCCAGGCGCCCGTAATTAAATATAAATAATTGCTGGCTATTTTTTTTTTAAGACAGTCTGAAACTCAAGCTCAGATCAGTTAACATGAAAGATGGTGGGGAAGAGAGGGAGGAAGGAAGTGAAAGCTCAGTTCTACATCTTGTTCAGGGGAGGATATAGATACTGATAGAAAATGTGGGTTAAAAAATGTAATCATAATCCTAGAAGAAGAGATGACGTATAAATTCTATATATTTCTAATTCCCAGAAGGAAAAGAATGAAATGAAGAGGGGCGCCTGGGTGGCTCAGTCGTTAAGCATCTGCCTTCGGCTCAGGTCATGATCCCAGGGTCCTGGGATCGAGGTCCACATGAGGCTCCCTGCTCCACGGGAAGCCTGCTTCTCCCTCTCCCACTCCCCCTGCTTGTGTTCCCGCTCTCGCTGTCTGTCAAATTAAAAAAAAAAAAAAATCTAGAATGAGATGAAGAAAATTCCATTAACTCAAAGCAAGTGAAAGATTTTTTTAATGAAAAAAAAAAGATTTAAAAAATATATATTTCTATTCAGAAACAGAAAGAGAAAACCCAAAAGAAAATAGTATAAACAGTTCTAAACATATCTCATTGAGGAAAGTGGATGAGTGACTTATTAGAAAAACAAGAAAATTTCTGAGCCAGGTTGCCTTCTCTTTTCCACCCCAGTTGGGTGGTATTGAGGAACACCTCTAAAACTCTCTTTATTAATAAATATACCAATTACTACGGCTGCATAATAAATTACTCCAAAACTTAGTGGCGGGAAACAACCATTTATTTTGCTCGTAACTTCTGTGAGGCAGGCATTGGGACAGGATACAGCAGAAATGGCCCGTCTTTTCTCCTGATGTTCGGGCCTCAATTTGAAGACTCCAAAGCTGGGTTGGCAGTTGGTGCTGGCTGTGGCCTGGGAGCACCCCCTTGCCCCTCATGTGGGCCTCTCCACGTGGCCTGGACTTCCTCACAACATGGGGGCTGAGTTCTAAGAGAAGCATCCTAACAGGAAAACAGCCAAGTGGGAGCTCGAAGTGACCCAGCATCACTTCCGTCAGAGGAGAGGGATGGTTTGGTGAGTCACTGAGGTGAGCTCATATTCCAGGGGAGGAAAATTAGACTCCACCTTTCGTGAGAGAATTTTGTTAAAGAGTTTGGGGACGTGTTTTTCAAAGTGGAATTCTTTATGATAAAATTTTAAATGTCTTATATAAACAAACTTTATTTTTTTGAAAAAGATTTTATTTATTTATTTTTTTAGAGAGAGAGAGAATGTGCATGAGCCGGGGGAGGGGGGTGGAGGGCAGAGGGAGAAGCAGACTCCCCGCTGAGCAGGGAGCCTGATGAGGGGCTCGATCCCAAGACCTCGGGATCATGACCTGAGCCGAAGGCAGATGCTTAACCAACTGAGCCACCCAGGTGCCCTTTGTATAAACAAACTTTAAAACTTTAATTTTGTAGCAAAACAAAGATAACATACAGCTAGCTATACATACCGACATTTAAACAACATTAGTTTTAGTGATTTATCATTAACAAACTCTTTGTGAAGTTTTGCAAGTTTCCTTTTTTCTGGTTCTCAGATCAGGCAAATGGATGAGAACTACAATCAAGAAAATCTAACTCTTTGCTATTTACAAGAGATATGGACAAAACAAAATCCAAGGATAAATAAAAAGGATAAAAAATGTTTTAAAGGGTTGTAAAAAAAAATATGCCAGATATCTTAAGAAAAATAACTCAGAGTGAAAATATTGGGGAATCCAAATTCATTAACCTTACAAGTAATCAGGAAAACAGAAGTTAAAACAATGAGATATCAAACAAATAAAATTTAAAAGTACTAACAATGTCTGTGGTTTGCACGGGTGTAGGGAAGCATATATATATATATTCACTACTGGTGGACAGGTGAAATTTTACCG